CCGCACTAAGTACATTCACAGGGTTGTGGAGCTGTCACCACCACCATCTCCAGAGCTTTCCACCTTCCCAAACTGACACTCTGTCCCCTTTAAACACTCATCCCCCACCCCCTCCCCAGCCCCTGCCACCGCCATCTGCCTTCTGCCTCCATGAATCTACCTTGTCCGTGGACCTCATGTAAGGGCAGTCACACAGGTTTTGGCCTTTTGTGACCTGCTGTGTCACTGAGCATAATGTCCTCAGGATCTGTCCATATTGGAGCAGGTGCCAGAATGTCTGTCCTTTTAAGGCTGAGTGACGTTTCCATGTGGGTGGACCACATATGCTCGTGTCTGTAGATGGACACTCGGTGGCTCTGCCCCTGGGCTGTTGTGAGTGACACTTTGAGACCCTGCTTTCAGTTCCTTTGGGTGTCGGCCCAGAAGTGGGTTACTGGATCCCGTGGTCATCCCAGTGTCACCTACTGGGGAACTGCCATACGCTTTCCACAAACGCCGCGCCATCTGTGTTCCCACCAGCAGGCGTCATTCCCCACGTGGTGCCGTCTGGTTTTCTGACGGTGGCCATCAAGTGGGTGCGAGGTGGGGTCTCATGGTTGTGACGTACGTTTCTCTGATGGTCAGCGACGTTGAGCACCTTCTTGTGCTTATCGGCCATTTGACTGTCTTCTCTGGTGAAAGTCTATTCCTCCAGTCCTTTGTCCAGCAAAGGATTTTTGAAGGTTTTGCTGCTGCTTTTTTTTCTTCCTAAATGACAGGGGTTGATGATTTGCTAAGCCAGAGGGGAGGATGGTGGCACCTTTAATTGTCACATTTCCACCTTCCCCTGGCCGAGCATTGTCACAGTGTTCCCCAAAGCAGAGGTGAGGGTGTAGCCAAAGCCTCTAAAACCACGTTCGGAAGCTCACCGTGGCTTTCATGTCTGGGTGACCTCCGAGCGCACTGCTTCTGTGTGCAGCCCGACACGTGCACGCGTACGTCTGCTTTGACCCTGGCTGAGAGCCTCTGTCTCTGTCACGGTGATGCTCCCAGCCCACGTCCTCGCAGGAGTGGGTGAGAGGACAGATAAAGGGCATCTCTTAGGCCCTGACTCATCCGGAATCTTGTTCCTGGTCTGTAAAGTGGGTGCCTTCTCAGAACCTGGGTGCTCAGGCTGCCATCAAGTGGAAGGACCCCATGCCAGGCACAGAACAGGTGCCACGCACAGAACAGGTGCCAGGCACACGGCAGGTGTCAGGCACAGGGCAGGTGTCAGGCACAGGGCAGGTGTCAGGTGCAGGGCAGGCGCACAGTAGTTGCTCAATAAATACTTGTGAGGCCTGGCGGGTACTGTGGAGCGGGGCAGACTCACGGGGTGGCTGAGCCCCGCCCGGCTCTTTCTCTCCCCAGGAGACAGATACTGGCTGTTTAAGGACAATAACGTAGAGGAAGGATTCCCGCGGCCCATCTCTGACTTCGGCCTCCCACCCGGCGGTGTCGACGCCGCCTTCTCCTGGGCCCACAATGACAAGACTTATTTCTTTAAGGACCAGCTGTACTGGCGCTATGATGAGCACACACGGCGCATGGACCCCGGCCACCCCGCCCAGAGCCCCCTGTGGAGGGGCGTCCCCAGCACGCTGGACGCCGCCATGCGCTGGTCCGACGGTGAGCCGGCGGGGCACCGAGGGCAGAGCAAGCCACTGTGGCCTCAGTCTCCCCACCTGTAAAGAGGGCAGTTGGGAGGAGTGCGCCTATGCACTCACATAGGGCTCTCCTCCCGGCCACGTGGCCACCCCGGTCCTCATTCACTCGCCCTCATCCTCCTCTGCCCGTCACTCCTCCAGCACCAGCCTCCGCCTCCTGCGGCCTGTCACGCCTCAGGGCCTTTGCACCTGCCCTGTGTCCTCCGGGACACTCCCTACGGGGCCCTCCCTTGCTTGGCAGTATAGAAATGACCGTCCTCCCCACAGGGGCAGAAGTCCCTTCTGTTTTATTTCCAAAGCTGCGTCCCCAGCACCTAGAATGGCGTGGCACATAGTATGCCCTCGATAGAATCCAGTAGGAAAGAAACCTAGAGGGCGTCTCGTCCGTCCCCCTGCCTACGGGCTGCTTCCTGAGCCTTCCCAGGCATCCTATAGGACAGTCCCCGTCTCCCGGCCGCACAGCTCTGCCCCTCGTCCTGCTGTCCAGCCTGAGTCCCACAGGCTGCAGCGGCTGGAGCTCAGCCCGCCTTCCTTTCTCCCCCAGGGGCCGCCTACTTCTTCCGTGGCCAGGAGTACTGGAAGGTGCTGGATGGGGAGCTGGCGGTGGCGCCCGGGTACCCGCAGTCCACAGCTCGGGACTGGTTGGTCTGCCGTGACCTGCAGACCAGCCCTGAGAGCACGGATGGACAGGCAGGGGCCCACGCCCGGCCAGGACAGACCGACCAGAGTCGCTCAGAGGACGGCTACCAGGTGTGCTCCTGCAGCTCCCTGGCCTCCCGTCCCCCCGGGGCCTCGGGCCCGCTGTTGGCCGCCGTGCTGCTGCTGACGCCAAGCATGCTGTGGACAGCCGCCCAGGCCCTGGCACTCTGACAGCCGGCGCTGGCCTGCGAGAGGACAGGGGTCACAGCCTGGGTCCACACGGGCAGGGACGAATGCCCTCGCCCCGCCAGCGTCTGAAACAGAAACTTCCCGAGCTTCGTGGGCACGGCCTTGAGGACCCAGCCTGACACCCCCGAGTGAAGCCCCTGCTCCAGCCTCCAGGACGGGGGACAGGCAGCCCCTGGCACTGTTCCTCGGCCAGTCAGCACTGACACTGGGGCACCGTCCACGCAGCTTTACTGCCTCTGCCCGCCCTGGCCTGCCAGGTGGGAGTCGGGGAGATGCTATCAAGGCCAGGTGGGGACGGGAGCCGTCCTTCCAGCCAGCAAGAGACTGGATCACATAGAACCTCATTGATGGGCCACGCAGCAGGGCTGGGGGCGTTCACTCAGGCCTTCCCCTGCCCCTGGGGCCCTGGACACCGCTGCCTGGCCGGCACTGCCACTCATTGCGTCCACACTGCCGCCCCTGGTCCCTGGTGCTTCTGCTCACCCTTGGGGGCTTTTGTCCCTGGTCCCCATGGGACTGCTGATGGCCTTGCTCAGGGCAGCCCCCAACACTCAGACAAGCCCCCCAAGCTGGGGTCACCACTGGCCTCCCTTGTGATACCTGCAGACAAACACGACCTCCCCTGCTTCATAACAGTGCAGGCTCGGCTCCCTGACACACCCCAGGGGCAGCCATCCTCCAGGCCTGAACCCCAGACCCACCTGCACTCAGGTGGTGGGAGCTTCTAGGAAGGGCTGTGAGGTGATCATGCCCTCCCTGGCGTTCACCAGCACCTCCTTGATGACTCCATGTCCCCCAGGGTTGTTACACCCATTTCTCAGATGGGTGAGCGGAGGTCAGCTTGGGAAAGAACCACCTGCCTGCAGGCAGCGGCCTGACGGCATCAGGTCTCTGACAGGACGCGCTAGCACATTCACCACAGGCGTTGACAGCACCTGCCGTGACGTGCAGGACGTGCAGAGCGAGAAGGCTGTCTCGGGACACACCTGGGATGCAGCTGCCAACCCAGAGTGCTGTCCACCCAAAGTGTAGGGACAGTGCTGCTGGCCAGTCCAGGAAGCCACTGTCCCCTCCCTGGGGCTGGAGGAGCCTTCTAACACCTGGAGCACAAGTGGGGTTCAGTTAGGAACACACGTGTAGCTGGGGAGCAGCAAGCTGTAAAGTGGGTGCGGGGTACCTTCAGGGCACTTTAGAGCAGGGCCGGCAGGCAGCAGCCCGGCTCCTGGACCTGTGGAAAGGCAGCTTCTGGGACCTGACCATAGCGCAGCCTGTGTCAGGTCCCCTCCCCCTAAGTGTGATGCACAAGAGGGTGTGGGGAAACCACTGTTCCCCAGGGGGTCGGAAAGGCTGCTTAGCAAAAACGGAGGAGTAGGTTTTCAGCGATGGGGGAGGGGCAGCAGTGCTGCCCGGCCTGGGCCTGAGGGTCTGCACGTGCAGAAGGCCCGTCGTCCCACCAGGAGGAGCCCCAGAACACAGGGCCAGCCCCTCCGCAGCTTATAGGGTGTTGTGTTCACACCCTGGATCCCAGGAAGTCATCACTGAATTTCCCCCACTGACCCTGGCCCTAGGGAGGGGCAGAAACGTCCCCACTTCTCACAGGAGGGCGTGTCCTGACATCCTGACGCCCAGGCAGCAGAGGCAGCCCTGGAACCTGGGATCATGGCCGGGCAGCAGGCTCTGGCCAGGCCCTGCGCTCACAGCCAAGCGGAGCCACATCCCACGCCCATCTGTGCACCATCTGGTCCCTGCAGGAGGGACCCCTGCCTGTCAGACCAGACTGGATGAACTGGGGTCCTTCCTGGGGGGTACAGATGCCTCCCACTTGAGGACACCGCCCCACCCCTGCGTAGTCCCAGTTCATCTCCAGCGGCTTGGCAGGAAGCCTTGTGCATTTGGGGAGAGGGTCCCCCCTCCCCGGGCACACAGCCCCAGGGGACAGAGCGAGCCGTGGACCAGGTCTGTAAGAGCCCGGAGTGTCACGGTGGGTGGTGGTCTTACTCTTCTGTTAAAGCCAAACCCTTTTATAAAACGTGCCCACCAACTCTGTGTCGTGCGAAGAAGGAGCAGCACAGAAGGGCGACCTTCTGTGTTGGGTTGTGAGAGACACGGTGATGGTAGCAGCTGCTTCTACTCGGGCCTGCAAAGCAGGGCCTGGGTGCTCGCAGGAACCCACAAAGTACACGGCTCCCCCCATCTTTCTGTATACACCTACATAAATCATCTTCGCAGAGAAGTTGCAGGTGGAGTACGAGAACCTTTATTTTTTTTTATAACCTAAACCACTTGGGACCGCAGTGACAACTCTGAGACACTGTCCTGTATTCCCTGCAAACCCCGGGCGCTCTCCCAAGGTCAAATCAGGAACTAACGTGACACGTCAGACCCCAGGTGGACCTCTGCATTTGTCCCAACAGCACCCTCCATTGACAGGACCCGACCCAGCATCGCAGGAGCACCCAGTTTCCTGTGGTTTTGTTCCCCCGCAGCCTGGCGCAGCTCCTGGGGCTTTCCTAGCCCTCCGTGACCTTGGCAGGCGTGAAGGTCTGGAGGCCGCGGGCTGGCTGGCCTGTAGACTGCCCCTCAGTGTCAGCAGCCGAAGTGTCCTCACAGTTAGATTCAGATTCTGTGCGTTGGGCAGGAATGTTGCAGAAGGGTGGCACACACAGGCCCAGTTTTAGTGAGTCACCTTTTAAACACCTGGAGATTTCATGTGAAAGTCAGGATTTTCAGCCAAAGTCTATTTTTATTCTGGGCTGTGCTGCGTCTCCCTGGAGAAGCTGTGGGCGGCCTCCCCCCCCCCCCCC